TTAAAAATCTATATAAAAAACGAAAAAAACTATTTTTGATTGAAATTCACAAATAAACTGCATCTCTACCTTAAGACGCCATGCGAGTCGACAGTTCCGGTAATTATTTATAAGTACTGGCGGCCGCGATCCCAAATAAAACCGGACAATTCCACGCGCACAGTATACTCCACGTATGCGTAAATATACAGACTTCGTAAAACAACGTTAACTGTACTACGAGAATGCATGTAAAATACGTACGTATACGCTGCGTGCCACCCAAGGCGGGCATGTGTGAAAGAAACCATAAAAATACGTAGCGCATATGTACGTATATTCAACGATTTGTATACGTAATCATATCTGCGTATACTAAACGTATACCGTGAATATACACAAAATGTATATCTGCGTATACAATCGTATGTCAACGATTTTGCCCAGTGTATAGTGTATTAATAAGTTATTACGATCATATTTACACGTTCTATTTATACTTGAATTGCTTTAAAACACACCATGACACGCTCCATGACAACCCCAAAAAGCATATCGACAGATACCCAGCCGTGTTGTCGCAATAACTGACGATCGCCAATAATCTGCTCCATGCAAACTCACATACAATATAACACTTTGGCTTATTTCACTTTGAATTGTTACAAACTAGAATGAAGAAGTAACACATCGATGAGAATCCCTCTGACCTGGTCCTTCTTCCCCTCCAACGTTAAGTTTTAATAGTTTTACCCCAACAAAATACTTCCAACGTGTATCTATTTTTATATTCAAATGTTGGATCGTATCATTGTTCTACTCTTCAGCTGGAAATAAATATAGGAAGGTGAATCATAAACTCTCTTTCAGGGGGTCTATGGGCGAATTAAGGATTTTGGTCTGGTTAACAATTGCAATGAAATCGAGCTAGTAACCATGCTTTGCATATTTACCTTGCTGGATTTGTGAATTTAAAAACCGACAGGCACGAGACTAGAACATTGCCCTACACAAATGCTTGCATACTATAACCATACATTTATAATCGATGATGCATATAGCAAATTATTTACACTAAAAAACAAACTTGATAGTCACATGATATATGATAATAGTTGCGTTCACGCACAGCTCCTTAGCACGGGCTAAGAGGTCAAATTCCTTAGCCCGTGCTAAGAAAACGTGCGTGAACGCTTAGCACGGGTTAAGGAATGCTAAGTACGGGTTAAATCTGATCCGAATTTAAGACGCGGTCTGGACCTTAGCACGGGCTAACGAAGTATGCGCGAACGCTTAGCCCAGGGCTAAGCGCCCTCTGCGGCGACCTTTGGGTGTGAAAATTGTCCCATGTTCGTATAACGACACTATTCCACCAGTCATTACTCCGCACTCGCTTCCACACTAATCGGGTCACTGTAGTAGTAGAGCGTACAGCAGCTCCAATCGTAGACAAAAAAAAATTGGTTCGCTGTCTGCGACATGCATTAATAAAACGCTGTATTCTGTTACGCCCGTTGTATACTGTTTATGTGCATCCAAATAAGTTGGGTCAGTCTTCTCTCGCGTTCCTGTGCACGTCGCTTCAAAATTAGAACGAAACATGCCAGCAGCAGAAATAGAACCTAGCGCGTGTCATCCATTTTTCGTTCCGTAAATAGCGGCTTACCAAAGGTCACCGACTAATGGCACCCCTTAGCCCGTGCTAACGACTGGCCCTCCCTGTGCGTGGACGCAATTGGGTCTAGCCAAAATGCAAATATGCTAGATAAGCCTAAATCAGCTTAAATCTTAGTTCGTGTAACGTGAACACAACTAATGTACTGAAGAAAAATATGCCTTTGTCATGCGTACATGGTAATCTAAATATGGATCAAAAGGGAAAGACAACGACAATCAATCACTGTGTAAAATTGTAGCCCTGTGCTTCGCGCCATGATTTACCCCCAGTCTCAGCCTGCACTTTGAAATGTTGTTGCCCAGAGCCATTAAATCATGCAATTTTACATCTTTGGGTAGTTTGGATTTGCATATGCTAGCCTAATGGTCCCAAAAAACCATCTAGGCAGATTAGCACAGCTTGCTGGAAACAAGTCTACCCTTGGCATGAAAAATGGACATTTAAGACAGAGCGGCGCTGACCTCCTGTGTGTGGCACTGGCGCTTGTTATGTGCAGCAGCAGTAGTAGTGCCACGCGTGCATTGGACACAGAGTCAGGTGCCCCCCCCCCCCCGTTGAACTGGTAGCAGGTATTAACCATGTGGATGTGTAAGGAGACAGCTGGTTAACTTAGCCTTAGGATTTTAGCCCCATAGAGCTGATTGGTTCACGAGGTGACAGAGTTTACTTGAAAGACGACTCGCTGGATCACCTATCCAACAACAAGAAGAGTCTTCAAGACACCAATACTAAAGACTAAGCAGGTTAGAAACCTTGGTGGTGTAATGCTCAGTGAGTGTTAAAATGCTTTAACATGTAAATCTTGGCAAAGCTCCTACCCAGAATGACCAACTATAGTGTTTATAGCAGCTTTGATATAGAGGGCGCTTTCAGATCTGTGTTAGCTATGTGGAAATTTACCAAATGGGGCACAGAAAGAATGGGTTCTGTGTTAATGAAACGAATTCCTCCACCACATTTCCAAAGAGTTTGTCAAAATTGAGAAAGTCACGTGAAGTAGGATGTTTGAGGATGGTCCACCACAGCGGGGTTTGCTGAACAGTCTAACATACAAGTCCAGATTTTTCAGGGACAATTTCTATGTCTGAATAACTGAACAGATCTGGCACGAGATGTTGTTTGAGGCACCAGACCCACTTACAGTCAAAACATGTTAACTGTACCCATAAGTTGGGAGTGTTGTTGACTGTACAGCAGGATGGGTCACACATTGCCTGATTTTTTCATGGCATTTGTCCAGAGGGGGTCAATCATTGGAGTGTATCTATATTCATCCCAAGGCGAGGCAGATTTTGCCTTATTGAAAATAATCCCCAGTGATCACTCACAGTAGAAGGCAGAATGGTATTTTGTCCCCATATTCTACATTCGAGTGGCTGTGAAAGACCCCTTCTGCTGCACCACACAATAGTAGACAGAGTGTGGCAGAACACAGTCCCTCAAGGTGTTGTAAAAGTAGTGGAGACAGTGTGTCTAGGCATGAAGTAAGTGACTTGATCTGACTTAAAGGTTAACTTGTGTAAAGAAGAATTTTTAGAAATGAATCAACTTTAAGCCAGATTTGAATACTGAAACAGTCTCCATAACTATGCATGCAACAGGCTTAACACAACATTGAAGCACGAGTTGACAAAGAATTTGTGAAAGGATGCAGTAAATGCTAGTAATGAGATCTATACAAGATATTCAAATGTGCATGTATGTAGGACAATTTCAACAACAAAAATAAAATCACTTAAGCAACTCATTTATAGAAGTAACAAATTTTATCTTTTATACTTGAAATGAAATTAAAATTGACACGCACGTTATTTTCAAAATACAATATCCTGTCAAATACAATTGTAGAGTTGAATTGACCCATAAACTCCCAGGAACATTGATGATGTTTCTATAATTATTTTTCACATTTACTGTGTTTTTACATCACCTTTGGAGTGGTCAAAATATGATTAAATGGGGAAAATGCGCAATGCCAAAATGAGGTGTAAAAATTCATGTTGAAACTGATTGAGACTCAAACATATCAACAGCCATTCAGTCGTCACTCCGTTTTGATGAATGATTCTCTGGAAAATATGCAAATGAGCATGCAATTTACATCATTTTTCCACTAGAACTGTAAGACCATCACACACACACACCAAGTTTTAAATGATGAGTTTTGAATTGTTTAGTTATAACTTGTACACACCTGTATAAACAAGCAGACACTGAGATATATAACAGGTTATAAACCTGTATGGTTACCAGTTATGAAAGCCGGTAGTCATATGCTTATGCTAGGTAGTTCCAATTTAATATTGGGAAGTCTTAAGAGTGGTGAATACAAATGAATATTGCTATATTGGTCAATTTGTGTATGACATCAACAAGGTTGAAGTATCAATTCTTTGAAAATGGCTAGTTGAATTACTAATTTGGAATAATGGTAGTCTTAGAACAAGAAATATTAGTCTGTGTGACTTGGGAGCCTTGCTACACAATAAATATATAAAAAAAAAATGGAAGGTGGTTTTCAAACAGAGACTAAACTTTTTCATTTAATATATGCACAATATATTAATAGGTGTACCCAGTCATCTGTGCACACAGTGAATGGCAGATAAGATTACAGTCCAGTTTTGCAAGTAGTGTTCTATTTTTCATATGAACAAGGACAGGTCCTCGTTGATCATTGTCTCGATGAATGACAATAATAGTGTGTGAAGAATCCATAGGGCTAATAGGAATTCTTGTTGAATGAAGTGGTCTGTTCTTCCACCAGTATAGAGCTAATAGAATTCAAGTCTAATAAAGTATTTTATTCTTCCATTAGTGAAGGGCTGACACGTTTAAATGACTTCCTTCTATTTGAGCGATTGTCGAAATTAAATTTCTTCATTTTCACTACGGGTATTGCACACAATAAATTCTCTATTGTCTCTGTGCATATATGCTCCCCTGTTTCAAGACATCTGTATATTTCCTGCAATCAAACATAACAAATACAAACCAGCTGATTTAATTAAATCTATGATATTAAAAATCTATTGACTCAAAACAACACTGTTGGTATTAATTTGCATAGAATAAGAACAAAGAAAATAAGATCTGTTCTTTCAAATGCACAACAAGCATGCATATGTAAATTACTCTTTTCTCGAGCATGAATTAAAAAGATACTTTGAGCAATTAGATAAATAAATTCATTCTATGTTTATGACTGGAGTTTACAGTTGAAGCAGAAATTATTTCAATTGAATAAATAGTATTTATTAAAATTGATTCATAGTTTTCAGATAAAAAAAAATGATAACTGAATTTGTAATAATGTGATACAACATAGGAAGGTTGAGAAATTCACCTACATGGCATAGTTGAGGATGGATGCCTTGCAATATGCCAACAAAATGGATAATGTCACATTCAATTTACACTCAACACAAACATTCAGATACTGTAAAATGCTTTATTTTCGCTTGCAGCTAATTTTCGCTGAAGGAGTGATTTAGTGAAAGTAAAACCCAGCGAATATACCTTTTTTTCTACATTTTACATTCAACTCATCAAAAATCAGTGAAAAAAAATTCCAAACAAAACACCCAAAAAGTCTTTTCAGCGAAAATTAATTCCATCAAAAGTAAAGTATTTTACAGTAACAGGAAGTCTGGTTTCTCCCATCAACCAGCAACAATTTATGATAAAAGTTAATTGTTTGAGTAACCTAAAATCTAATCAGAATTTCAAAATTATACAATTAGACATAATTGGTATGCATCATACTAAACTATGACATTGAGTCAAGCAGTTATTCAATCAATTAATGTCACGCAAGGCGTCCATATGTAGTTGTTTGCATTGAACTCAAGAATGATCTTTCAACAACATGGCAATGTCAGGAGTATCAAAGTTCTTTGAATTCATCTAATGATCTATGCATTATCTCAAAGCATTATTTTTTTTGCCACATGACAGTAGTAATGTTCCAGATACAAGTTCACATTTTGATGAAATGTGCAGTATTGATAGTGAGGTAAATAAGGAACAATTTAATAAACATCCGGTTTTATGACATGCTTTATTTTTATCTTAATTCTCTTGAAAGAAGGAATTATATAGAACTAAAATGTTGGTAGATATTTAAGTTTAAGGCTGTGAATTGGAATTACTATATATTTAAATTAAGTGAATAAGAGGTGTATATCACTTAATATTAGAGTTGATTGATACTTGTGATGTCATGAGTTGACATCATTTTATTGATAATAGTAGCAATGATGTCACTTGTATCAACCGGCTCTACAAACAGGTGATATCATGTGATGACCACCCTTTGCCTTCCCACAATGCTTTGTATTTATTTAATTTAGATAGGAGCGATTTTTAGTATTGGCTGATCACTATTTAAACACTCCAAGATGTCAAATCATTTATGTGCATTTCTTGCATATTTGCCCACCATAGCAACCAAACAAATAGTAGAATATATTTTATGAAGTTAACTGAATGGTAGAAGAAACAAGAATTAAATGGAAAACTCACCTCAAACTCTGATGATATTTCGTCATTTTCCTGTACTTTTGATCGCAATGCATCAAGCTAAAATCAAACAATGTAAATTATCAATATAATAGTATATTTTCAGTTCATTCAACTTGCAGCCAATCAGAACCCAGTAACCCTGCATGCATTGTATACAATTCGAATCATAGCCAATCAGAATCCAGTAACCCTGCATGCATTGTATACAATTCGAATCATAGCCAATCAGAACCCAGTAACCTTGCATGCATTGTATACAATTCGAATCATAGCCAATCAGAATCCAGTAACCCTGCATGCATTGTATACAATTCGAATCATAGCCAATCAGAATCCAGTAACCCTGCATGCATTGTATACAATTCAAGTCATAGCCAATCAGAACCCAGTAACCTTGCATGCATTGTATACAATTCAAGTCACAGCCAATCAGAACCCAGTAACCTTGCATGCATTGTATACAATTCGAATCATAGCCAATCAGAACCCAGTAACCTTGCATGCATTGTATACAATTCAACTCACAGCCAATCAAAACCCATTAACCGTGCACGCTCACAGCGAAAATCAAACAATGTAAATTATCAATATAATAGTATATTTTCAGTTCATTCAACTTGCAGCCAATCAGAACCCAGTAACCCTGCATGTATTGTTAAAATTCAACTTGCAGCCAATCAGAACCCAGTAATCCTGCATGCATTGTATACAATTCAAATCATAGCCAATCAGAATCCAGTAACCCTGCATGCATTGTATACAATTTAAGTCACAGCCAATCAAAAAACATAGTTGAACTCTGGTGACCTTGCCCTTTGTTATATAATATAATTCCCTTTAACATAGTTTGTTTCAATATAAATATACATTGTCATAATTAATTTTGAATACAAAAAAGTTTTGGGGTTGAACTAACAGTGGGGAATCAGTCTACCGAATGTCCTTTAAAGATGTAAATATCTTACAAAAACATTGGTGCCTTATTTGTTTAATTATTTTAAGGGACATAATTTCCAGCTTTATTCAAAGTAATTCAGATATTTTAGTATAAAAACAAATGCCTCATTGCAAAAAAAAAGTGCTGCATTTAGACGTGAATAGATTCATAAAACATGCAAGATAACAGAAAATCTTAGCTAGCTTTTGTCCAAGTATTTTGTACAGGTGTCTGTCAAAAAATAATGATTCACTGAGACAAATATGAACTGCCTCATTGTGTGACTACTGTATTATATGAAAAGTAAAAAAACACCCTTTATGAATAGCTATCATGTTGCAAGCTCTGCTTTAAATAGTTAGTTGGTGTCCAGTGGAGGGAGAAGTCAACAGTACTGTTGCCTCCTG